TTTCCTCCAGTCAGTAGGCACCTTTCCCTCCTTCCAGATCTTTTGCAGTAATGGAGTCAGCATATCTGCTGTCGTCTCTGAGTCCGCTTTCAGTGCTTCCGGGGGTATTCCATCTGGTCCAGCTGCTTTTCTAGCTTTCAGAAGCTTGATTGCCTTCATGACTTCAGTTTTCGTTGGAGGATTGGTGTCAACTTGCAGTTGTGTACGTGCTGTTGTTGGTATTTCTGGGCGGGCTGTAGGTGGTGGTCGGTTCAAGAGTCCTTTGAAGTGGTCCGCCCATTGTTTAATCTGTCTTTCTTCTTTGGTAATTGGGTTCCCTTGGCTGTCTTTTATAGGTTTCACTTGTGTTGATCTCTTCCCGGATAGAGACTTGGTTATCTGATATAGTGTCCTCAGGTCCATTTTGCCTGCTGCCTTCTCAGCTTCAGTAGCCAGGTTGTCGTAGAATTGTCTTTTGTCCTTCCTGGCACTCTTCTTCACTTCTTTGTCCAGTGCTGTGTAAGTTGAGTTCAGCGTCTCTTTCTCTTGTCCATCTTTGCATTGAATCATTTTCTCTTTCACCATTCTCCTCTCCTCTATTAGCTTCCAAGTGTCTGTTGAGAGCCATTCCTTGTCTTGTTTCTTCTTTCTTCCTAAAACCGTTGAGCACGTTTCGTTGAAAATTACCTTCAGAGAGTTCCAATGGTCTTCCACGGATGATTCCTCAGTGGTGCCAGGTAGTGTTTCCTGCTTTGCTCTGACAGTTGCAGTGAAAGTGTCCTTTGTGGTTGTGTCTTTCAGTTTTTGCGTGTTGAACTTGCATTGTGGCCTATCCCCAGGTATCCTCGAGGCTTTCAGCTTCACCTTGAAAGTTCCTTGTACTAGATAGTGGTCTGAACCCACATCTGCTCCTCTCCTCGATCTTGTGTCCAGTAGGCTCCGTCTCCATTTCCTTGACATTGAAATGAAGTCTATCTGGTTTTTGGTGTGTCCATCTGGTGAAATCCATGTTGCCTTGTGTATATCCCTGTGTTTGAACACACTGCCACCAATCACCAAATCATTGAAGGCGCAGAAGTCTGAGAAGAGTTCACCATTTTCGTTCATTTCACCGAGGGCCTCACGACCCATGGTGAGTTCTCTTCCTGTATTGTCTCCTCCCAGTTTCGCATTCATGTCACCCATCAGGATTTTGATATCGCTCTTTGGGACGTTGTCCATTACTGTTTGTAGTTGACTGTAGAAATCCTCCTTCTTCTCTTGTTCTGAGACGTTTGTAGGCGCGTAGCATTGAATGATTGTAACCTTCTTTCCTTTTGAGTTAAACCTGGCTGTCATTATCCTGGAGGAGATTGGTTCCCACTGCATGAGAGCTTTAGCCGCTGTTGGTAACATCATGATGGCTACTCCCTCGATGTGCTCGTGATCGTCCTCTGGGTGACGGGAGTAGATTATTGTCTCTCCAGTTGGTAGTTGGCACCTTCCGCATCCATTCCATCTGCTCTCACAGATTCCCAGCACTTCTATTTTATATATCCTCATTTCTGCGGCTACCTGAGCAGCCTTTCCAGTTTCGTACATTGTACGAATATTCCACGTCCCCATCCTTATTTTTGCTTTCATCGAAAGAAGGCACATCGGCCGACTGGTTTCCCGAAGACGTTCACCAGCCTGCGTCATTTCACTTCCCCTATTCCAGCGAAAAATAAGGTCACTATTTGTATTTTTAGAATTATGAATATATTTGTGCGTTGAAGGTTTAGTAGCAATTTGGTTAAGTTTTGGGGGTGGAGTTGCTAGCACCACGCCCCAACCCTCCCTCTTTACCCGGGCTTGGGACCGGCGAGAATACTAGTGACATAGTAATCTAGGCGAGGTTAAAAATCAAATAGATGTTCGAGAATATTCAGATTTGAATTGCTGAGAAATCGAACGCTTCTGAATCAAAACGTAAAGGTCAATAAACACTGATTCGACAAATCACACTATCTATGAGTTATTTTCCGAATAGTAAGTGCAGGAAATACGGAAATAGAGTTTGAAGGAAATAGTTACTTGTAACCTGCATTCGTGCAGTTCTCACTGGGTATTTCAAGTGAAATACACCTCACATATGTAAAACGGATTTTGACTGTAATGTATATCGCATATGGATCAGTTGCTTCTCAAACTCAGCCGAGTGTTGAATGATTAACTATTTCAGCATTCAAACGACACCGTAGGCAGATATTCCTGGAATCGGAAATATCACGCATTTCTGACACCAGTGTTTCTTCTGTCTCCATCTGAACACTACATTATCACAATATTTAACAAATTCACCGATGAAGCCACTGACCAGTTTGACACGATATGTAATTCACCTCACATCAGGTCATGCCTTGTGTGATTATCCACAGACGGATATCAACTAGGAAAGCTTGAAACATAAGACGAGGAAGCGTGAGGATTGCTTGTGTATACAAGGTAATTTAGCCCCGGCAGTGACTTCAGTTCTGTTGTGAATATCATGTCAGGTGTATGAACAGGATGATATGAAGAAGTGTTTATTCATACTGAAAAGTTATGTATCAGTATGAGAGGGTAGGAAGGTGACCTAACCAGTTCACTCTCCAATTTCCATTGATACCACCAATTCTACACACTATCTGAAGTCCTGTCGCTTCTTTTGTTTCAATGAGGTGATCATGATGGAAATGGATAATTCTAAAAGAATTGCTGTTTGCGACATAGCTGTTATTTTCATCATTGCTATAATTAGATTATTTCCAAAGTAATATTATTAGAAAGCGTGATAGATATTCATGAGAAATACAACGCGTGATGTTGACCTCAAATGACACAAATATTCCTTCATTCTGTAAACAATTAGGCATCAGCAAAATCCTTCTCATTTTGTACTTTCATTATATTTAGTAAGCACTATTCAACCAGCACACTTGTACTAAGCATCCTATATCATTATGTGGTGTGCGTCAGTAACACAAATAATTATTCTTTATGTCAACAATCATGCATTTGCACACTATTGTATAATCAATATTCAGCTACCACACTGGTTCCTGATGATACACGCGTGTCTCATTCATTGTATCACTTTCAGAAATTAACAGTGTAATTTACTTTGAATGAATCAGAGGGATTCTATTGTGTGACTATCTTCAGGAATTGTTGGTGTATGATTCTTGTGAGCAGAGTGTTGATGGCACCTTGTTGTGAATATTCGACTTGATTCTCAGTTGCTTTCTGACTCGCTAATTTTGCGCTGCGTTACTTGTTTTTTACTTTAAATATCTCTTTTCTGATAGCTGTCTTACGAAACTGTTGAGGTAACTCTCAGTTTCTGATATTTTATAATTGTCGTCGAATAGAACCACGTATACATTTCGACAAAGAAACGACTTCCAGATGTCTTTCCGGCGTTTTCTGACACTGCGTCTGTCTATAAAGTTTCCAAGAACTATACAATGTACGGTTCGCCATGTTCACTTCACAACGATTGAACATTTCTCTTTATATTCTGTATTATTCAAGAGTATTTTGCAGACATTTCAGCATATCTAGGTATCATCCGGCGTGTGCTCATTCAGCTGTAAATAAGTGATGTCAGTGATGAGGAGAATAACTGTTATGACTATGTTAGCTACTGGAATGTGTAAGTTAGTGAGTATCTATGAGTAGATAGTTCTTCTACATTCAGCTTTATCAACATCTCATTAACTGTATCATTTATGCGTTGAACGGTCAATGTTTATCCTGGATACTGTATGTCAAGAGGCAGTCGGAAATGGTGTAAAAGATGTGTGTACTTTTGTTGACAACGTTGAAGATAGGAAATTAACAGAAACAACTGTTATCTTTAGATGCCTTGTCATTATTTGACAATGTTACTCTCACAGAAACACGTGGTGGAGATTCTATTTATTGTTGACAATGAGGTGTTTAGACAAATAGATAGTGTTGCGATGAGATCTCCTCACTCGGTCAAAAATCTACACAATAAGAAAATAGTCGTTCTAGAAATTGTATAAGGAAGCATATGCATGAAATGAAAGAAAAGTCAGGATGCATTCAAAATCACTACATTCATCCAATACGCTTACAAGAGAATAACATACCGTCATCTCATTTAGATATACTCGCCTCCCTCCTACTCTCTCTCACCTCGTTAACTTCACATCATTCCTAGGCGTATTCATTATTACTATATTTCACATTTCGTGTGCTATTATTTTTTTACTTGTCACCATTAAAATCCCTATGTTTCATCATTACATTTGTGGGTAGGATTTATATAACGTTTACTCCATTTGTTTTACTATACTTTTGTTGTTTTCACGTTTTCTTCACAACATTGAATAATACTGATCCATGAAACTTATGTATCAACGAATTGTGAGTGCGCAGTCGGGTCATTTACTTGTTTAATCTCACTGCATGTCATATTCCTAATGACTGCATATTTCAACTGCAATGCGATGACAACCCGATTACATGTCAATCTGTTTCGTTCTAACAGCGCACTCAGTACAGTATATGATCCTATTCGGACTTGTCTCAACAGACTATTATATTCTGATATTATTGAAATGTTACTGAGGATCTTCATGACTATTTTATTACTGGGAATTAACGTGAAACATTCCTGTTGAGAGTATGTCAAAATGTGTTGAGTGTTGAAGTGTCATGGATAAAATATCCGGCTTCAGTTGTGGATTAGTAAGGCTAATTCAAATCATCGCAAAAGCTGGATGACTCTCAGAATTTGATCTTCCGCTATGTATCGCGAGTGTGCTTTCTTCATAAGGACGCCATCACATAATTTGTTAATATTATTTAGATTAATGTATCTGCGCAGATTGATCGATTTCATCACACCTATCAGATTCATTATATGAGCAAACCGATATCATGAGGCGCACTTTCACTCACCAATCACAACACTCACAGTCTTCCACAAATGAACGATGAAATCACGATTATTGTAATCAACCAATCATCAAATTGCAACAATAGCTGCAACTGCTTGTTGTGCTATAAATAAGCGAACGGAAAGTCAGTTACCATAAGAAGATGGTCTACTTTGCATACAACCACATAGTCTTCGTCTCTCTGTTGGCATTTGTAGCCGTAAACGCACGTAAGCATTTATTCAGCAGATAGTGTATTTGTGGCTTATTTCCGTACGACATCTTTGCCTTATTCTATAGCACTGTTGAATATTTCGCTAGTTACTCTCGCGAATCATTCTCTCTGATTGAGCTTTTACTCCGAAATGGTCACTTTCGCGTATGCTTTCATATCAAATTCATCTTATTTGGAGTCGTCTTTCATCTGAATTCTGATTCAGAAACTGTGTATATTAGCAGTTGCACAGTGACACGTTGTCTCATTCGATTAATGGTTAAGTCTAAAATTTCCTAAGATTTAAATAGCTTGAATACACATTTTGATATGATGTGTATCTACATTGCAATGGCATACATAAAGTCCTCAAGAGGTGTTTGATGCATTTCAAATTGAGAAACTGTTCTAATAATCTTCAGTATTCTGAAACTTCTCCTCTGTATAATAACTGTCGTTTGTATTGCTTCTTTTGAATTCAAGGTGCAAAGTTGAATGAACTACAGGTCGAACTGTTGGAAAAAACTACCGCAGGTAAGTATGTTTTCAATGCATGTTACTTGAGTTCATCATTTGACTTGAGAATTCGTCAATACAACAGTCTAAGACTAACCAAACTCTTACAACGATCTTGCAGACATTGTTTCCTTGAACACTCGAAAACTGATATAATGTCACTACAGACTATGTGGAGAATGTTTGGAATTCCTTCTGACGTTTTTGATGAAAATATTTCCAATGTGCGTTCAGTGATCTTACTTCCTGTTTGACAATTCTTACAAAATATTCTTGTTTCTCCACAGGTTTTGCACGCGAAATATTTCAGAAAGTGGTAGACATAGAAGAATTCCTACAAGATTATAAGAGTGAGCAAAACATGACACCTTATTTTTGACAATGTCTTTACGCCGAAGAAAATATGATTTCAAAATTAATAATATGACGACATCAATACAATCATCATGTCATCTAGTATGTAGCATGTAGTGACATCACCAAAATACACGTCTCCATATGTTGTAAACATTCAACGCTTTGGCTTTTCTGTTTTCACAGACACGATTCTCAGTGAACATGCAAGCTCAAAAAGAGAAATAGAAAAGTGTAAGCAAGTCGAGTTTATTGAAATGATGGTAAATCTATTTTAGATTTGGACTGTTTGCAAACTGCTTACAAATACTTTTATGGAGAGACTGCGTTTGACGGTGAGTTCTACGAAATTCTTTTCATTCGAAATATAATTTTATCCACGAAATTTCCTCAATACATTAGGTTTTCATCTGATAAATCTGAAGCCATTTTCGTGATACACCACCTGTTGATTGTATGCTTTCTCACTGATCATTTCAAGAATGAACGTTTATTCGACTGCCGCATGATGAATGTCTGATAGTTCTTTAACTAAAAATTGATCTGAGATACTGAATATATAAAAGTCTTTCTGTCTTTTCCAGCAATTGAAAAGGTTCTCTTCCTAAGTAAGCCAAATATTTTGAATCATTTCTGTACTTACTTACCGTCATAATTATTTCTCGTCAATATTCTGACTAACAGTCTTCCGTGGCCTATATTCGCGCTTTACCATCTCAGCTAATGTTATTTCATTCCTGCTTTTACTGATTTCAAATTGAAGTATGAAGCATGCGCTGATGATGTCGCTTAGTAGGGTGATGAAAGATTCGCAGTTTAACCATCAAGCTCAGAGAACACAACCGTATCAAAATCATCCACCTGAGCTAATAATCTTCTCAATCTAAACTAATTCCAGTAACTAGCATAGACATAATAGTTATTCTCCTCATCACTGGCATCACTTGTATGCAACTGAACGAGCACACGCTGGATGATATCTAGATCTGAGACGCTGAATATATGAAAGTCTTTCTGTCTTTCCCAGAGATTGACGACAGTATCCCCCTAGGTAAGCCAAATATTTTGAATTATTTCTGCACTTACTTACCGTCATAATTATCTCTCGTCAATACTCTGGCTAACAAACATCACCCGGCTTACATTCAAGCGTTACCACCTCAACCATTATTATTTCTTTCATTCACTTTGTTGGCAAACGCCAAAAAAGATTGAGAATTTCACCACGCACGTAACATGAAGAGGTGCTGGAGGACAGTTGTTCGACTGATGTATTTATCATGTCGGATATTCTCTGACAATCCGTCAACTAGTCAACTTATTTTATCCGATTGAAAAGTGATTGTATTCATCGTTAACATGCATAAATTTGTTTTATATTGAAAACAGCAGAAATGAGTTGATATGTGTGACACTCATTTATTTACAGAGAATTACTTCAAAGTCGATGAAATGGTGAAGCATGCCCGGGAAAAAGCCTTAGCATATACTAGTAAGTAGCATTTTATTACGCTAACCAGTCTGAATTGTTTCGTCTGTGTGGAGTAACGATTTTCGAAATGCCAGTCTCCACACATCTCTTGTAAATTTGAGTTAATAATCAAGCTGTATGTCTACTCTTACTCGCCCATGTATAGAAAAGAAGGAGGAGTTCCCTGTACACAAATGTTCACAACATATACCTTCAGTGCTTCAAAAAGGTATTTGTTTGCTCTTTTTCACATTCTTGATGAAATGAATAACATTTTCACATACACCTACGCTGAGGGTATATTTCCACATGTCACAATACTTTCATCATGATTTGAACTCATGAACATCCAGCTCTTATTGTACGATAGTCAATGATGAGTGTTTTCCTGAATCAGGTTATAATGTGTGAAGGAGGATGAACAATTTTAGCGTTCAGAATGCCTTCACTCGTCTTCAAATACACTCTTTTTAGATAATGGGATTTTGAGTAGAAACACACACTGAAAGACAACTTGTTGAACGTGAAACTGAATCAGCACTAATATAACGACGTGATGGCTACACTTTGAACATCGTGAATTCTTGACATAGTGCAAGTGGATGATTTTGTAGAGTAGTCAATGATTCGAATCTGTGCGCGAAACACATTGTTTTGCATCATTTCATGTCGCATAATTTCGGGTATTTACTTCGTAGTATGATTGTGAGAAATTCACTCTGCAAGATATTCGTTCATATATCATTTCAGAGGCGCAAGAAGTGGATAAACTACACAAAAGTCTATTCAAATTGAAGTACGAGATTGGCGTGCTTATGTGTGAGTTCATTTTCTCTGTATGAGTAAACTTCACAATTGGACATTTCTGTGCGAGAACAGTTTAAAGGTTGTGATTTGGTTGCGCGAATAGTCAGTGCATTTTTAATGTTAGTTGTCCGACAAACGAACTGATAGACAACAAACTCTTTCACTGGTCGAATTTAAATATTTCTCAACCTGTTCTATCATTTCTAGTTGGCGTGAAACTATACGCAACCTTATTGAAACAGTTGAAAGGTGAGATCTATTTTGCATCATATTTCCACATTTAAGCTTACGAGGGTCAGTTATCGGACAGTGACTCCAATATGAAACGGACAAAATGTCAGACAGTGTGGAGGTACATGAGTGGGCAAATTACAATACACGATGCAGATGTTCACCGAAACAGAAAGACAAAATTTTCACCGTCTACTATTCTACCATCTCTCGGCTGAAATTCTGTTTAATGAATGTGTGGTTCAAATGACAGCCTCAAATACTCCTGTTTAATCGAATGGTGAAAGCATCATGAGTGTCGTTGTAGGTTGCCGTGAGGACATTCCTCAAGGAATATTATCGTGGCGGATCTAAATAGATGGTATGGTGAATGAATAAGAATACACACGCGCATTTCAAAAATGTCACTAAGGCTATGCATGCAAGCTAGTGAAATGCACAAGACCCATATTGAATTATTGAAATGCAGCTGCTCAAATACCTCGAAAAATGATGGATATGGAAATCATCACTCACTGAAAATATTCAGAATCCCGAGGTTCTATGAATTAGCACACAGTTCACCAACAATCATCCTCCATCGCACTATTAGTCTTTCTTGATTATTTCACCAATAATAACTCATCCAATAATATTGCTGACTGATTTTATTTTCATACAGAAAATCGAGGAGAAGTACCAGAATGAATGTCAAAGTCAGCGTGAAACTGAATAGATGTAGCTTGTAGACGCTTTCATAAATATTTTATTTTGAATTAAATTAAATAAATCTCTTTTCTGCTACACAGCTTTCTCTTCATGAGATCAAACTTCATTCAAATGGTGGTTGTGATCGGGTGTGGTTAATATTTGAATTCTCTGTGGTTTGTCGTTGTCGGATATGTGTAAATGTGAGATTGGTCATCAGGTGGCTGTTAGGAGATTGAGTCTCTTCAGTAGAGTGTGCTTCAGATGCTTCTGAGCGTGTATTATTCACACACATGAGTCATGTGGCAGATGCAATCAGACCCACTGTTTTATCGACAAACAATGGTATGAAGACATATACGCGTCACCGACCTCATTTCGATTACAATTGAGTCAGTGTCTTTTGAGGAGTTGATCACTGAAAATGCTTACTTTTGTATACCACAAAATCTTTCACACCATGATCACATGCGGAACCTGGAATTAATCTGTTTGTACATATTACATATAAACTGTGACTGTCTATTTAGAATGCTTCGAAATTGGTGTTGTTCTTTGACAAATTGCATTCCAGTTATATCAATGTTACATAGTATTCATGGTGAAGGCCAATTTGCATTCGATAAAACGGATTTTATGATGTTATAGTTACATTCAAGAATTTCACTCCACACAAAATTAGGTATTCGCCTGTTTAACGAAACAAGTGTTTGATAAGCTTCTCGTCAGCCGGGAAATATACAGAAGACGTGTCATCAAGATATTCGGAGGGAATATACAAGCAGTTTCCGAACAACTTAGAAGTATCTGAAACAATATATAGCTCACACATAATCCCCCTACACTTCTTTATCTCTCTCCCTTACTCCAGTGTTGAAATTCGCTTCGTATTCCGCAGGTGGTATATACAGCTTGCAATTTCCCCATCACTTCGAGAATTTCATCAACGGAGTAGCACACGAGGGAAGGGAAGAAAAGCACAGAGAGCACTGAATACGTGTGCAGTGCTTCATCGCACAGAAATATGTATAAGGCATGCAAGCGCTCACACACGTAGGCACACACACACACACTACATCTCTGATTGTGGAATACTCGCAGGTCACGTGATTCTGTAAAACTGATGTAGTCTGTCAGTAGTTGGGAGTTGTGCGAGTGACGCACTGTATGTGATGTCTTCTGTAAGACTGTTGAAATGCACAATTATGGAAAACACTGTGAGACAACAAAACATTTAAGCACGAGAGGGAGACGAGAGTAACACAAAAGGAGTAATGATTCTTTTCCGATATTTATCCGTTGTCATTCTTTCTTTTGTCTTCAACTCTACACTACTTGCCACTATTAAACAGGATGAGTTACCTTTGTTAACTCCTAACCATGACCTCGTTTCGCTAATGAAGTTTCGCTCACCTAATGCATTACTGATCTATTCTATGTGTGGTAATTATTTTCGTATCATTAGACATTATATGCAGTATATGGTTTATTTATGTATCCGTCACTGTTGAACATTGTTTATTCGTAACCCTTCATTCCGTGTCTGGCATTCGCGCACTATTTACATCGACACGTGTATCGCTGTCGATACAGATTTGCTGTTCTTCTTGTTGACACATATTGACTGTGTTTTGGATGGCATTCATCCATAGACGAACGACGAATTGACGATTGTATATTACGCTTCAATATTTCGTGTTTAACATAGTGCCGTATAACATAGTTATAACAGTTATCCCCCTCATAATTGACATGATTTAAATACAACTTAATAAGCGCACACTCACACACACACAATTTTATGTAGATATGCTTAAATGACTGCAGATTGCAATTTCATTAACCTGGATGTTTTCAAGCGAAGTGGAATCGTTGTGATGTGAACACGGAGAACCGTTGATCGCATCATTCTGTCTGACTCGTCGAAACTTCCTCGAGAGACGCACAGCGAAAAAACGCTCCAAAGGCAGCTAAAACTGCTTTATTCGTCGTGAAATCTACGTTCGTTCGACAACAATAAAATTATCAGAATCGCAAGATAACCTCAACATCAGTGTTAGACAGCCATGTAGGCGAGAAACAATTCAAGCACGAAACAAGTGATTCAGAGTAATGTTTTTAAAATATAATTCACCTGTAGGAAGGAACAGCCGAAAAAGAAGAACACTCAAAACAATGTTGAAGCACACCTCTGTTCACAAAAATCCCACTGCATCAATTCCCGAAAATAATCCAAGATCAGAATCCCACCAATTTATCCAAATACAAACAGAGAATAAAACAAAATAGAATAAATGTAAAGCACGAAAATTAGGAGGAATACTGAAATAAGAGATCAAACAGGCATAAAAATTCCATTATCATTTCGTGAAAATAAACTTCGAAAGAAGGTAAAATTCCTTTGAAACAACTGAAGACAGGTCACTGTAAAGAAAGTTTAACATTCAGAAACTCAGGAATGCCTTCAGCACCGATGAGATCAGAGAAAAGTCGGAGACACTTCATGGCATCACTGAGGAAACCTGCGTGGAAGAACCTTGGATCTCACTCTGCGAATGTGATGTTCACGGAAACCCACACACCGATCGAGTTCAGAATCACGACCTTACAATTACAAGACATTGAGCTTGTAGCCCATTCAGCAGCCACCGTGACGACCAGTGTGCTAACTCAATATTGATTATAGAAGATTGAGCACGTGCATAATTGTTTACAGAATGATGAATTATCTGTGTTATTCACGTAGACCAAATAATGATATAGAATGCTTAGTACAAGTGTGCCAGTTGAATAGTGCTTAGTAGATATAATGAACAGCCTACAAATGAGGTGAATTTGGCAACGCGTAATTGTTCACAGAATGAAGAAATATTTGTGTTATTTGAGGTCAACATCATGCGTTGTATGTTTTATGTGAATTATTAGTATTTCTCATTATTTTATTTGGAAATGACATAAATATAACAATGATGAAAATAACAACACTATTGCAAACAGTAATTTTGGTAGAAATATTCAATTTTCATCAGGATCAGCTGACAGTGATGAGAACCGACAGGACGTCAGATAGTGTGTAGAATCTATTGGTGAGATCAGTGGAAGTTGGAGCTTAATTGATTGAATCAAGTATTCTACTCTCTCATACTGATCCACATCACTAATCGCACATGGGACAGCTTAACTCAATCAAAACAGAATCGCCTTGTATACTTTCCACATGTGTTATGCACAAACACATTTCAAAATTCTTCGTGAAGTCAATATCTTCAATGTAAACACCATTGCATTGAAACTGTTCACGAGATGGAAGATCAAGCTGAATTATATGAAGTCATCTGATGGGTGTCAATAGTGTGAAAGTGAAGTCAATCGGATATGAAGCAGAAACCGAGATACTTCATAAATCGGAAGGCGTTTGTCAGATACCAGTACGTAATTAGTACCTGACCAACTTGTTCCTATGTATGTCCTCGGTGTCAATTTAGCTAGACGCTTATTCCACAGACTTTGGAATCCATGCAGATATCATGTTCAGTGATGGCCATCGAGAAACTGCATTTCATAACCAAAGTGTTTCAGTACCTCTCGTGAAATTCAGGCTTCCCTTGATATATCTGATATCACAATGGTTCCCTCCCCCTAGTCTTGCCATTTCACTTATTACGAACAGTTCACAGTTCACCTTGAATTAGTGATAATTGTTTCCTCTTAGATTGACTGATTCTACGTGTGCTTAGGTCCTCACGGAACCCACCTTTACTAACGCATAGCAAGTGGTGATCAGTCGGAGTATTGCATATTCAACTCCACGCTGTCCTCGACGTCCTACTTCCTGATTGTCGAATTCATGTTAGAACACCTGACAAGTGATGTCGATTTACTTGAATGTATTGCGGTCTAATTTAAGTAGATGAGACGACTTCATGCTTCAAATCAGTTGGCCCCTCAGGAGTGATTTCTATCGATTGAATGTCGTTTCATACTCTACACCGACATCATGGAGTAAATATTGGAAAAAATGTAAAGAATAAATTTGCTATTGAATGAGAAGAGATGTTTTCGACATGACTAGTATGGTAGAGGCGAGAACAAGAACAGAATGGCGAAATATGTGAAAGTGAGATTAAATGGAAATAACAGTGGAGTAGTTGATACTAATCTTATGACTGGTTGTTGTGCTCGATAACATACGCCTGATGATATTCTTAATGTTCCACTTCATCATGAGAAGTACTTGTATAACATTCTTAGTGCAGTATGATCCTCAGTGATGTGCATGCCTATAACTTTATTTCTCTCACTAACATTTTTGAACATCTAAAGCAACCATGATTGATGCATCATCCTTAATGGAGATATGAAAAACTTATTTCGAAAAGGAACATGTTCATATGAAGTGTTCTTCGAATGTGTTCTCGAAATCGGCGTAATTGCCAGGAAAATGACGTCTTCAACTACCGATAATGTCAGTGACACTGTCTATATATATTGAAAGACTTACGAACTTAATAGAAAAAGGAAAAGTAGTGTAAAGGTTAAAAATAAATAAATGAATAAGTAAGGATTATAAAATGTTATGATGGCCATGGTAGGGAGGGGTTGACGTAATTTTTGGAAAGTGGTACTTTGATAGCTAGCGCTCAGCTATGCCCAGATGTCTTGATTTGATTCCTTGATAGGTTGATTGAATTTGTATATTACTTTGAAGATTTTCATATTTTCCTTAATTCTTGCAAGAAACGTCGTAGGCTCGCGCGAATATTTTATGTGGTTTTTTTGGATTCACAAGGTTTTCCGGAGATTACGCAGTTCTTCTTCAATCACTTCCTCGCTGCATATCTTCCGAATCCTCGAGGAAAGAGCGTATATCAGGTTCCTCTTTCTGCTTAGGGGCACGAAGCTTTGGAAGTTGATGAATTGACCATTCCAAGTAGGTTTTTTGTATATGGATCTTTTCAGAGAGTTGTTGGCGTTTCTTGTCAGCTGGACGTCGAGGAAGTGAAACATTCCGTTGGATTCAGTCTCAAGTGTGAAGTCGATGTTTGGGTGGCGTTATTGAAGATTTGAAGTAGGTTTTTATAAGTAGGGGTTGTTTCTAAGCTAGCCAAAAGCAGTCGGCTAATAGGGGTCCTAAGGAGAACCCATTGCTACCCATCTACTTGCCTGTATATTTCTTTGTTGAAACTAAAGTATACGTTGAAGGTGCAGTTGATTGAAAGACAAATGAGGATGCAGATTTAGGATTCACGGTGTAACTAACACATCCGAAATTCAATTATATCCACATTTGAGTATTTTGCATATGAACGTTTCAATCCTGTGATTTTCCAAGAATATCTCTTGAATGGGAAGATAACTCCACGTCACCTGTAGATCACTGAATCATCTTCATCATAGCACTTCCAATGTTT